CACCTTTTTAAACGGTAACTGTAACGGAATACAGTTACTCATATTTTGTATTTTAAATACGTAACGGCGGTACATGTATTCCGTTACTCCCCAACACTGATTACCTGTATGTGTATTTGTGTGTGTGTGTTTCAGCGTCTCACCTGTTTGGGCTGCTCGATCGCTCGCTGCAGGTCTGTCTTCACCTTGTTTCCGGGGTGACTCGTAACCTTGGTAACGGGCTGTTTAAAGATGGAGGCCGTCTGTCTGATGGGCAGAGCTGTGTTCAGGTCTGGTTTCCCTCCCTGCATAAGACAGACACGAATCTGAATGTTGGTGTTTGGTTTCTTTTGCTCCCTGACTTCCTACGTTCCTTCCCTCCCACCTTCTTGTCCTTCCTCCCTTTTATCCTTCATTTACTTTAGCTTTCTCCTGTTCTTTTCTTCCTTACAGGTCACATTTATCTTCCTATACATGAGACAGACATATTAACCTTTGGTTGTTCCTGTGAGTGTTTGATATAAGCTTAAAGGGTTAACTCTAAGCTGAGACAACAACAGGAAGTGCGTGTTTGTGTGTCTCTGTGCCCATAAGTAATGAAGTGTGAAGAGCAGCAGTACAGGGTTGCGAACCGTGTCAATATAGCACACACACAATCACATACATGCTGAAATTAACACTGAGGATGTGTAGATTATCCGTTTAGCAAGTAAATCTTGCTAAGGCTCGCCTCTCTCCGCAGGTGCTATTTTTTCCCATTTCAGCTCACCCTACTCCACCTCTGATTGGTCCACACTTTATCCACTTAAACAACCATACACAGTCTATGTTTGATTACAGTCAGTGATCACAGTAAATGTTGAATGGATTGATACTTATAAAGCACTTTTTACTCTAACTGAGCACAATGTGTTTTTGCCCAGACACATTTAATATACATTTCACACCTTCAATCTACAGTCTCTACAGAGGCCGATCTGAAGGATTTATCTAGTCTGAAGCTGTTTCATACATGCACTGCAGCTCTGAACTCTTCTAGCCAAAACCAGACATTCACCGCCAGCGAGTAGGCGTCATCTCCCAGTCATTTCCAGCAGTAGTCATTTCCAGCAGTTAGAACACGTCTGAAGCTGACTATTTCCTGCTGTGCTTCATGTATGAAAGGACAACTGTGGGAAAAAATCCCACCCTAATTCTCCTTAACTTCTCCACAGTTTACATGTGAGCTTACCAGGTCTGTAGTCAGGACCACCTAAGTGGTTCCCCTATTTGTGTGCCGCAGAGAAAAGGCAAAGAGAGCAGATCTAACACCCACAATTTAAAACGCAATGACCATGGCACATTTTAGATCATAGCATTGACAAGATCAACGAGACAAGAAATAAATGAGACAAACAACCGACACCAGTCAGAGCCAAAATGATGATGCAGATTGGTCTTGAAGAAGAGAAGTCATCCAGAGCAAAACAAATCAAAAGCAGCGTGTCGATTCTGAGCGAAAACACCCTGAAGGTCGAGACAAGCTCGGGCCGGGCCCAGCGCAAACTACCATTCAGATTATCCTGAACTAGGACAAGTGTTAATTAAGACACCAGAGTGGAAGTAGACAAGTAGACTTTGAATACATATCTCCTTTTTGTGTTTTCAAAGTATTAGAAGAAAATCAACTTTAAAAAGATCCATTGAGGGAGTCCAATGTTTCCTCAAAGCTCTAGAATCCCTGTAGCCCGTAAATTCATTAGGATTCATAATGTGTTTGCTTGTAACGTTTGTATGTTTATGGACTTTTGAAGAAGCCATTACTAGGTTTTGTGCGTTCATCTAAAGCCATCAACGTGCTCCCAGTTGTCTTCATTGTTATCATCATGTTGTTATTTATGGGTCTATAAACCAAGTTTTAACGTCTTATAACATCCAACACCTCCTTTTATTTGGAATTTTAACCCATTTGACATATCCAGATGGAAATCTGTGAGTCCAAACTGCATGTGAGACAGCTGATTGGTTGATTTATGATGTCATTTCACTCTGTTTGGGTTTCCCTCCTCTTGATTTTCTTCTTTTATTTTTACATCATGGTTTAAGAAGCGTCCGTTTAACTGTACCCCACTTACTTCATCCTTAACTACTGACTAACTATTTTAACTAATTATCCACTTCTCTCACTTTCACAATGCCCAAACAAATCTCGGGCAAAATAAGGAGAAGGCTCAAAGACAGTAATTTATGAATAAAGGGGTTATGACCAGCTTTTTCAGTGTGAACATTAGGCTTGTTCTACATTTCCAGAACTAAAAATCCTTACCTGACTTTAAATTTAGCCCTTCCAGGGTTAAGATCTGAGTCTAAATATCCATGAGATGGAGGTAAAAAAAGACTTAAAATATGCAAAAGGGAAAAATAAAGTGACAACAGTGAGCAAACCAAGGAAGCTCAAGGCTGTAAAACCGAGGAGGGCAAGATACATCCGGGTCAATATAACCAGGAGACGGGGCTGTCCCTGATAACAGGACTGCTGGGATTACACTTCCATGTGGACATGCACACAGTCAGCTTTTGAGTCAACATGGATAATTTGGAGCGTAAATGAAGCCCATGAGGTCTAAGTCATCATCCAAGTACCCCACTGGTGTATATTTCAGAAAGGATGCAGGCCCTATTCTCCCCCAATACATGGAAATCATGTATTTGAGCATGTGGAGAAACAGGTCTGAGCTTAATCAGGAATCTGATGTTTGTTATGCACATGTGACCAGGTTACTTCCTCAAACAGAGGACACAAAATCACCCTGCTATCAAACAGAATATCATCTCAATCTGCTCTCACTCTCTCTGACTCTCCAATAACATGAGGTTCAGCTGCTGGGTTTTTATCTATGCAAATAAGTCTGTGTGACTCAGGTATATTCACATGATGGATAAACAAGCACAAAGTTCTTGTTAGCTGACCCTGTGACCTTTCGACCTGTTGCCGGAAGAGTTTTGTTAATCTGATAATCTGTTAAAGCACAATACACAAGTCACTCCCACACAGGTGTGATCCATCTGGGTTACCTTGGCCATGCTCAGCGGGTCATGTCGGAATCTCTGTTTGTTTTTCTGCAGTTTTCCGGGCATCATCTTGCCTGTGCGAAAGTCAAAACATGCCAGATCCACTGTATTTCCAAGGTAACGGGACAGCTGGGGCTTACTCCGGAACTTCTTTCCTGAAGGACTGGAGGATAAAATGGAAAGGACGCTATCATTAAAAAGTCATACTTATAACATCATAAAGAGAACCTATACTACATTACCAATGATGAGTGCCTAACATGGCCTGGGGTCAGTGTGTGCACAGGTAATCCCTGTGAACTGGAAGCTAAGACTTATTCCTTATTCCACTCTTCGCTCAGTATTATGTCAAATAGAGGGGATATACGCAATATAGTCATCTCAGAAAGTGAGTACAAACGCCCCTCCCACCTGCGGAGTATTTATTTATTGTTTGTTTGTTTGTTTGTTTGTAAGGTAGAGTCAATGAGAGGAAAGCTGAATTAAAGGGATAAAAAAAAATTCAGACAGAACATGAACTGAGAGGCTGTAAACATCTTGATGCATGCTCAATCATCCAGGTAAGTAAATCGCCAAAAGTTGATTCTGTTCATCTGGACGTAGCGTTTTCAGTGGGAGAAACGTTTCCTCACTCATCCAAGTGACTTCTTCAGTCATTATGCAAATGTACTGTTTATAAGATTGGGGAAACCTGCAGTCAGCTGAGACTGAAGAAGTCACTTGTATGAGTGACGAAACGTTTCTCCCACTGAAAACGCTACGTCCAGATGAACAGAATCAGCCTTTTGGAGATGAGAGGCTGTAACATAGATATGGATTATTATGAGCTGTAAATCATGCAAAGTGATACTAAACAGAACTCTGCACTTTTTGTTTGTAGCTGAGTGAAAAACCCTGTTCCTTTGGTTATAATCCCATTTCCAAACAATCTGAAGTCCTTCATTCTACCGTGAGAAAGCTTATTCACAAGTGGAAAACATTCAAGACAGTCGCCAGTATTGAGTGGACATCCCAGCAAATTCACCTGAAAGTCAAACTGAAAGTGCAAAAAAAAAAACCCAAGAGCTACATCTCAGACTCCGCAGGCCTCAGTCAGCATGTTAAATGTTAAAGTTCATAACAGCACAATCAGAAAAAAAGAGAACGAGTAGGACTTGTTTGGGATGGGTTGCCAGGGGAGAAGGCTCTTCTCTCTAAAAGAACACAGCAGCACAGTTAAGCTTTGCAAAGCTGCATCTGAACAAACCACCAGACGAGACCAAAGGGGAGCTGGTTGGCCATAGCGCACAACACCATATTTGGAGAAAAGCAAACACAGCATATCAGTACAAACACCTCAGACCAACTGTCAGCACGGCGGCGGAGTGCTAAGGATTTGGGCACCTTACAGTCACTGAGTGGACCATGAACTCCTCTCTATACAAAGGGAATCTAGAGTCAAATGTGTCCATCTATCCTGCGGCTACAGCTTGGCCCCAAACTGGGTCATGCAACAGGCAATGATCCCAAGAACAGCAGCTAATCTATAACTGAATGACTAAAATGAAAGAAATAGAGGTGCTGCAATGGTCCAGGGAGAGTCCTGAACTCAACTTGACTTACATGCTTTAATAGAGGACTTTAAGAGAGCCGTGCATCAATGAATGCCAGCAAACCTCATATACGCATGTGAGTGTGTCCTGAGAGTATTCAAAGGTGTAGAGGTCCAGTGCGTAACAGCACAGACACATTCACTTAGGTGTCACACAATGGAAATTTGTATTTGTCTTTTATAATAATTTATAATAATGTTTTGATTTTAGTGTTTATTTGTGAGTGTAGTTTTTATTTGCATGATTTTATTCTAATGTTTGTATTGCATGTTTTAGTGGTTTTCTAATAACAAACATAATAATAATAATACATTTTATTTATAAAGCCCCTGTCAAGACACCCAAGGGCACTTAATTATAGAATAGAACACATTATAGGACAATGAGAAAATGAAGAACAATAAAAACAAAAGCACAGGATAAAATGAACAAACAGTGGGTTGGTATGAATATGCAGATTTGAACAGATGGGTTTTGAGTTGAGATTTAAACTGGAGGAGAGAACCAATGTTTCTTATATCTGGGGGATGAGCTCCACAGCCTGGGAGCAGAGCAGCTAAAAGCTCTGCGTCCCATGGTGCTGAGGCGGAAAGAAGGCACATCAAGCTGGATAGAAGAAGAGGATCAAAGTGAGCGGGCAGAAGAGGTAGTGCTTAACAGATTAGAAATGTGAGGAGCAAGATTATGAATGGCCTTGAAGGTCAGCAGAAGAAGTTTGTATATTATCTGAAATTTCACTGGGAGCCAGTGAAACATTGGGGAAACATTGTTTAATCCACTGTGGACTGGCTGGCCATGGGATAAAAGTGGTGGCATCGAGCGACAGACTCCAGTGCACAGTGTAACCTGGGCTGGGACGTGACGAACCCAGTGGAGGGAAGAGACAGGGACAGCAGGCGTCTCCTCGTCTGCCTAGGACGAGGGTGGCATGGTCTCCGCTCTGGAAGAGGAATTTCTGTCCCGCTTGTGAACACGTAAGGAAAATTCATCCTGGGTTGTGGGTCGGTTGCATCATGGGACTGGTGGGATCTAGTCTCAGTGGGAATTTTAGCGTATTGAGAACATTTATTTATATACTTTTTTTTTGTATTGTTTTATTCCTGCTGTCCACCTTGGGGAATAAACCTTTTCTGATTATACCTGTACCATCTCTGTACCCTGGGTTTCTGGTGCACCAGCTTTAGTGTCTACATAGGCAGCAGCAACAGAACCGAGAGTTAGTTTTACTCTTCTTCCAGCATTTCACCGAGTGTCTCTAGTGTTAGTCAGGATAATATTATACGGTCTATAACTGAAAGAATCTGTGTTTCCTTATGGCCTGAAATTATTCCGCGTGGGTGTGGGGGGTAAAAAAAGGGTCCTGATAAACATGAGTTTGTGAAACCGGTAGAGGCCTCAGCAGGGCGTTGCAGCTCTTCCAGTAAACTGACCTGTTGTGACTGGTTTTCTTACTGGAAGTGATGAGTCACTTCAAACAAAACTGAAAGTGAGCCTTCAGGATGTGACGGAGCTCAGACGTCTCTGAGCTGCTACAGTGACAGGCCCAAGCTGTGCAGATCAACAGGAAGTAAAGAACAGCCACCGGCTCTGCGGCAAGGCTATGATGCCGCAGAGCTGCACCAGGAGCAACTTCCTCTGCGATCTGACGCAGAGTGCTGAGCAAAAAGGAAAAGCGTAAGAAGCAGCGCTCCAAACTCAACTTTAATCTGCTCTGGAGAATAGCTGAGGCAGGAGTATTTCTGAGGCAGAGAGACACAGACGCTGAGGTTTTCCTGCCTGAATGCACATTACTGGATAAAAGAAGCGCAGGGGGCAAGAAAAGTGCAGAAACAGTGAAACAGAAGTGACCCTGCATCTCACTCACAACTGATTTTTTTTCTTCCTAATTTACTGCAACACAGAGATGTTGTGATTAGGGTGCATGGACATGTCCTCCTTCACATGTCAATCACATGCATTTGCAAAATGATGCCTGATTTGTGTGTTTTGTGACCATATGATTCCAGCTAACATGAACTTTAGCTATGTTCAAAATCATTCTAAAGACCCAAAAATTCTCAAAGGATATTACTAGAATTTAAAGAAACTGCCACCAAATATTCATAACATCAATACATATGCTGGTATTGATATTGGATCAATATTAGCCCAATACGGTCGATACTTGCTTTCTATCCTCTATGTTCCGTATGCAGCAAATAAAGTATTTTATTTAGGAAATGAATATGCAGTATAAAAAATATCTGACCTTTACTTATCGACTGTTACGTCTTTGTTATTTATAGCCTAATGCACATTAAAACAACTGAAGGTGACCCAAAGTGCTTTAGAGACAGACACTTTTATATCCCAGATGTCCAAAAAACATAGTTTGAAAACAAACGAAAAGCTAAAAAGTGTGTTCTGTTTTGTTTTATTAACTGATTCCTGTGTAAAGTCAGAATAACAGTGATTTAGTGATCAGATACCTTTTATAGCTTAAAAGTAACACTATCAGTATTGGTATTGGCAAGAACAGCCCTGTATTTACTTGACAATACAGTAAATACAGCGACAGTAAAATTTGCAGTGTCATAGAGCACTGCTAGTAGTAGTAGCAGTAGTAAAAAGCATGATAGAAATACTTTATGCAACACATTTTTGGTAACTCTTTTATGTCCCACTCATTTATGTATTGTGCTAAAAGAGATATAAACTCAAGCTGAACTGTGGCTGAACTGTACTTTGATGTAACACAAACTTGTACCACAAGATGGTGCAATGAGTCATCCATCCATTCTCTTCTGCTTGGTCAATGGGATTGCGGGAGGGGCTGGAGCCTATCTCAGTGGGCCTAAGGCGAGAGGCGGGTCACACCCCGGACAGGTCGCCAGTCTGTCGCATGGCACAAGGATTCGTTTTAACTTCTAATTAACCAGGTAAAAGAGTGCACTCTTGCGTCATGGGAAAAAAGCCAGGCCTCTTGAGGTCTGGCCCCTGGTGGTGAAAGATTTACATTTGAATAATTACAGAAAATACCTTTAATGTATGCCCTCTTCAAAATAAATCTACACTAATGAGAGCGAACAAAGAACTAATAACGAAACAAAAACAAAATTTAATAAACTGAAATTACAAATTAGGAAAAAAATTGAAGCCTAAGTGACAGGGGAAATGCAGAGATTTGTGCTCTGTAAGATAACACAGAGCCGTTGCCTTTAAATGTGTGTGATCCTACTCACCCCTAAAGACCCATTTTGAGCCAGGAAAACCCGAGATCACCTACTGATTTCTTCTAAAGCCCCACTTCACCAGCCTCATTCATTTACATTCAAGTCCTCTGATTTTTCAGATCCACTGGTAAAGATCGCTAACATGTCCCAAGGTCACACCTCAAACAAAACGGTGACAGAGCTTTGGCAGGCACTGCTTCACATTTGTGGAATCAGTTATTACCTCCATCTCTGCTTTGAAGTCAGGTCAGAATCCACCTTTACTCCCAGACCTCCCTAGCTCAGTAAACTCCCGTTTGCTGTTGTGTCTGTAACTGCTGGGTACTGGTGCTTGATAATTCTGTATTCTGTGTCCATTTTTACTTTTTTATGTAATTACATGAGTGTGTATATGAATGTGCATAGTTCATATAACACTATGGTCCATGAAAGCTGTGTTTAAATGTGCTTTACACAAAACACAGAAAGTAAAATTCATCTTGCAGTCTATTATTTGAACAGGACACAGTTCCGTCACAGCTGCAGTGCTTGCCTTCAAGGCTATTTAAAAAGCTATTATAGAAAGTTGAAGTGAAACTTCCACAGTCTCTTCCAGCTAACTCAGGCAACAGCAGCACAAATGGCACACCCAGCTTCACGTTTCCCAGCTTTATGAAGCAGACGGTTGGCTGTCTGGGCGCAGGGACAGGATCTTCAGTGTTATGGACATTTCCAACAGTAGTTTGCCTCTGACAACATCAGGAGAGAGGCCTAACCCAGCTAGAATGAATGGTTATCTTACTGTACAGCATTTGGAGATAATAGCTTTACACGATACCCGCTGGTATCAGTGCAACATGCTGTTTTTTACCCAGCATATGTCAATAAGAGAGTCATGTGGCTGTCAGGAGATGTTAAATAGATGTACAAGTGGCACTGAAATGAGACACCATGATACATTTTCAGATTCAGATTCTCCTTAAGGTCGATAAAGAAACAGTTACAAAAACAATTTACACATAGACTGTATATCAAAGGTGACCACTATAGCCCCTTTTCCATTAGTTTCTACTCGAATAGACCTGCTCGGCCAGGGTTCCAAGGCGAACCAAGTAGGTACTGAAATGTGATGTCGTCAAACTGCAGGCCAACGATTGGCTAGTCTGTGCCGACACTCAATGAGTTATGAGAGTGTCTCATTCACTGAAATTAAAATGGAAATTTGTAATATAAAAAAGCCCCAGAAAACCCAGCAACAACGGAAATGGCTACAAAATGCACGCCATGGTCCCAGAGTCTGACAGAAAGTCAACTACTGAGCACCAGGCATATCGTCCACCTTTGTTGTAACGTTCGTGATGCATACTAATTCCATCAATGTAAATGTAAATGTTTGACAGAAAGCACTTACATAAAAAACAGCATAGATGTATGGGTGTGAATGGGTAAATGAGGGTCCTCAAGTAGAGTAGAAATGTGCTATATAAGAACATTTATGTCATCCATTTACCATTTTGGATGACATATTTTGCAGGTTCAGTGTTAGAATTTTGTCCACCGGCATTCGGGTTTTTTGGAGCTAGACATGTCAAGGAGTGGAGTGCTAACTTAACAGCTAATGTTAACTTGGTTACACTGTTTGAACCCAACATTTTCAGTGGGAGAAACTTGTTCTTCCAAGTGACTCCAGGGTCAGTATTCTGCAGGTTTCCCCCAGTTTGAAAACGGTACAACTGCATAACGATCTAAACCAGCACCATTGCATAACAATGAGCAGATCAGATCAGTTTCATGCTCATTCATATGCAAATTGTCACAGCAGTTAATCAATGACCACGAGTACTACTCACTGAGAGTTGGAGAATGGCTGCAATCACAGCATTAAACGATACTGAAAGATGTCCTCTTAGATTCCCTCCTTGGCTCAAAGATGGTCATTCCCCTTTTTTTACTTAAGGAGGTCAAGAAGGCAGCTTATGTGAAAAGGTAACGGCCACCTCTGTGAATAGTACTCAGGGCCATTAACGGTCATGACAATTCATTGTTAAGCAATGGTGGTTATGCAAGTGTATTGTTAATAAAGTCAGACTAAATTAATCAACATTCTTGGATTTAGATAGCAGATGCTTACTATTTCTATTTAACTGACTAAAAACTACAACGTCACTCGTCAAAACTAGAGTATAGGGTTTGTGTGTGTGTGGATGGTCTGTCACTACAATTAACCACACAAAAAGCCATTTTATTTGTCATTTAATGGCATTAATGGGATCAAAAGAATAAATAGAAAGGTTCAATTTAAAGAGTCAAATGAGCTGACAAACGTGAAGCCTTGAAACCTATATTTAAGCCCTGATAAAACCCAAATGAGTAAGTTCTAAAAACGAAAACTGCGAACACGTTCAAGTCAGACATTTTAATATTGGAGTCTATGGAAATTGACTTACTCTGAAAGTCTGCCTCAGGTGGACTTTAGAGAAACTGCAGGGTTTCTTTTAGCTTTCGTTATTGGTTTCATTTTTGCTCTTATTGCACATTTATGGAGGTATGAGGTGTGTCCACTGTAATCTCAATATCTGGATGAACTTCCCACCAATGTTCAAGCACTTAGGTTTGGCTTGCTTCGGTCACCCAGCTGTTCTTGGCCCCCTGCTGCCACAACTCTGGTCATACAGACACTGTTACATTGTTGTAATGCTGTTATTAAGAATGAATTCTGATTGGCTACTTTGCTACTGTGCACTACATTGTAACTTCTCAGACTGAAGCCGAGCCTGTGGTTGCTCCACTGAGTGTGAACAGAGGTGAGCTCACAAACAGTCCAGAGTCAGCATTGGTACCACAGCCGAACTGCTGACTGATTATCGGTTTGCTGTGTAACCACTGATCGATTAGTGTGATGGGCTACCTGTAGTAGTAGACGTCGCTCTTTCCGGCGCTCAGCCCGGACTTCCTGATCACTTCTTCTTTCTTCCAACCGGGCGGCAGAGCGGGACAGTCCGTCCTCTTTCTCTCCATCATAGCACGCGTACCGATCCCACGGTTCAGGCTCCTGTCGGATTAATCGATCACTTGGTAAATCCCGGCGTGGACCCCCCAGACGCGCGGCGTGCTGGTGAAAAACCAGCGGAGCGACGTCACGGACGTTACGTTAACGGTGGCTCTCCCACACCCTCCGCCCTGCTTGTTTATGCTGCTTATTTTGGGTCGAACAGAAACAAACAGAGTGTTCCGGTTCGGGCTGTTCCGGGTTAAACCGCCTCCAGGTCCGGGTTTACTTCAGTTTACCTCCTGAGAGAAGCAACGGCTCATCCGGGGATCCGATCTGATCTAAAGTGAACTGAACTGAACTGAACTGGACCAACAGCAGGCTGTGACGTCTGAGATATCACACACACACACACACCGCGATTAAACTCAGACGCGCACGCTCACATGCACAGACACACTCCCCCAGAGATCGTCTTGAGATCAGAACACTCACTCGGTGTTAGTTTAGGTGAAACAGACTCAATCGTCTATAGTCTGAGATATGAATAAACCTGTAAAAGTTTGCATCATCATCATCATCATCATCATCATAATAATAATAATAATAATAATAATAATAATAATAATAAATTATTGTTTTCAAAATAAAATTGAATATTATTTGAAAGTCTTTTTTTTTTTTTTTTGCAAAAATAGATAAATAAATAAACAACCATGAACTGAATTCGTCATGGAAACATATAACCCAATATTTTCAAGGTCCGATCAACTTAATCAACCATGACACTATGGGAGTACAATAGACTGCATATTAAAGATGGAGGTAACCACTGATTTTTGATTCCACATTTTAGACTACAGACATTCACTCCCCAAAAATGAATCACAGACATCTGAAACTGTTTCATGGTCGAGCAGAGAGAGGGGCAGGCATGCGGTGAGTGTTAAAAACTATGAAAAGTGTCACTGCAAACACACTCTGTGCTTTTCAGACTTTACAGTTATCCCATCCTATCGCTCCCTTCTCTACTCTGTGTCCTCTGTCCTCTTTTTTCTGTGAAGCTCTGGTTGGTCCACTAAGAGGCAAAAAAGTTGGTTATCTACCCTATCCACGTGTTCTGGCACCAACCCCGATTGGTGCCAGAACACAATAATCAGATGATTCCTGATGAGTGGTATTTGGCAACAATTAGGGAGGAAGAACTCCTTTTAAGAGGAAAATACCTCTGCTTACACTTGTTTTGTTTTTTGTTGTGTTGTTTTTTTGTTTGTTTTTTAATTTCCCAGATGGCCTTATATTTTCGTCTATGCGATAACAAGTGTGTGTTGACATGTTATGCTGATGCTTTCTGGTGCCTGCAGTTTCAGGGGGAGTGATCCCTCTTTCTGTGTTATTCAACATCCCCACACCTCCTGGCTCACTGACGTCACAAACTCTGGGTTAAAGGGGCCTGCAGCAGAGACAGGAACCCCGGATAAATACTTGGTCGTCCCAACATGGCTAATCTACAGCTCTCTCTGGGAAAGAAGTGAAAGCGGATTTTTTTGTAAAAGCGTTTTTTACAATGTAAGTAAACCAGTAGTGATGAAAAGGAAGACGTGCCCTTCTGCTTATGAAGTTATCACAGGAACAAACAGGGTGTTAAATATGCAGCCTAGTATAAATTAATGGTGCCCCCCGAAATAAATACACAATACATTGGTGAATTTCAACAAAATAGTTTTTTAACAAAAAATGAGCATGATCTTTTCAAAATGGTTATATGCTAGATGTACTTTAATTCGTCCAGTAAATTAACATCACGTTAATAAGTTATCTGAAGGAATTAAGTCCTGCTACCAGTGATATTCGAAAGCTTTATTAGTTTATTATTTTTTTATTACTCTTGTTGTGTCGTGTTAATATTGTCTTTTCAACTCTCGTGTGTGTGTGTGTGTGTGGGTGGGTGGTGGTGGTGGGGGTAGATTATCATAATTATCTCAATTTAATAATTTAAACCCAACATTAAACTGTATATAATTCCCCCCACCCCCCATTTCAGCTCTGTGTGGGAGTCTTGACTGCTGTTTTTCCAGTCTCAATAGTTTCTCCTCTCCATTCCCTACTCTCACTAACACCTCCTCAGACACTGTGGCGCACTCAGAGACGGAAGAAGGGAAATAATAATAATTCCGGTGATACCAAATCATTATACTGTCGTCAGTGCAATTGCTTACAATTTAATTTTAGAAATAAAACAAGACAATTTTTTTTCTTCTCTTTTTTTGGGGCATTCATGTGGACTTTAATGTTTTCATAACTCAACGGAGTTCGTCTTTAAATTCGGCATACCTTACACACACAAACGATTATGCGTTCTAATATAATGTAAACTTCATTTGCTCTTTCACTCATGTATACCATGTTTCTGCATCACGATAAGCCACTGATGGCGGTAGTTAAACATATTAATCTGTCTGTAACAGACGCCGAAACTTTCTTAAGATCATAACACACCTTAACTGTGTAAACCGTACTTATATATGAAGCACGTGTGTACCGATACTATGATTATTATTAATGACCAGATTCTTTTAACGGAGTTTGGTGGCAGCGTCTGCCGGAAGTGGCTCCGGCTAACTGAGCTAGCTTTACCCGGGATCCTTTGAATTTGCTAGCGTCATAAGCAAAAGGGTTGGGCACAGAGTACAGTGAAAAGGAGGCATTTCGGAGTAGAAGTATGAGTGTTTTATATTTGTTTTATTTGATAAAGATTCAGGAAGTTTGAGGAAGTGCCTGGTTCAGATTTCCGTTTACACCCTAGCAGCGCTGCTAAGTTGAACTTTAACATCAGTGAGAAAACTTTTGCGATATTTGTGAGTACGTTGAGCCAGAAACATTTGTGTATCACGTTATAAACTCTGTATAAACACTAAACTGTTACTGTACGTATGGGGTTTAAATCTGCCATGTAACGGTCTGTTTAGTTTATTTTTGTTCGGTGTTTTGTTTTTTTGTTGTTGTTTTACTGCATAGCTCAGAGCTCGGCTAAAGGCAAGCTAGCAAACAAACGCAGTCTAAAGAAAGCCCTTTACTGTCCTGTTTAAAGCGAAAACCGGCAAAGCTACCACTGACAACCTGACACATACTCTGCAAGGTGGTTAGCTTTCTAACGTCTCAAACAGCTGCTTTTGCACAGGTAGCTCCACGCCTACTTGTGGAAGGTCTAAATCACAGCTGGCATGGCTCTAATTGGGCATGTCAGCTGTAAATAAACAAATGCTGATAACAGTTTTAACACCACTGTAAACATTTTAACCATTATTCCCTCGAAGTTTAGCGATTTAAAATGTACTCTTCTTGTTTTTTGACAGCATGGAGTACAGCGGTCCGTTTGGCCACTCTCTGTCACCAGAGTCCACGGTGACCTCCCTACTGTCCAGTTCAGGTTACCTGAGGAGCAGCCTGCTGCCTCCTCAACACGACACCAGCTTCAGATACAAAGACAGGGTGGGTGGGATTACTTTCCACAGCAGGAATGGACAGAATGAGGAAATCCCCCTTTGTTATTTTATCTGTTTCTGGGTTCTGTTCTAGGTCTTATCAGGAGAGCTTCTCTCCTGACAAATGATGATGTTCTCTTTTTGATTGTGACAGAATTTAAAATTGTTTCATTTTCCAGTAAAACACTGAGGAAAAACTGGTAAATTCAGAAAAAATATGTGAATTTGTTTTAAAAGAAAAGGGTAAATTCATATGAAGTTCACGAGGAAGTGTGTGAGAGGTGTATGAGAGATATATGAGAAGAGGAAAAATGGTAAAATCACAAAACACAGTAGAAAAAAGTTTACAAGTAAAAAAAACGTGGAATGTCTGAGACAAAAAATATAAAATTAATGAAAGAAGTAGCAAATCTATTAGAAGAAATAAGTGTGAAAAAATTGGTAAATTCACAAAAAGAAAATCTGCAAATTTGCAGGTCAAGCAGTTTTTCTGCAAAGCAAATTTATCTTTGAATAAAATTGGAAGAAACTGGAAATGTAAGAAAAAAGAAAAAAGTGTCAAATGTATGAGAAAGAAACATAGATAAACAGTTTTTTGAGAAAAAACTCAAACATTTATGTGAGAGGAAAAACATTTTTAAAAAGTCTGAAATTTGTTGTTCTTTTCTTATCAAAAACTTTAGTGATGAGGATTTTAAAACAGGAAGCCTACACTACTGTCTGATTGCAGGAGTATGACTCGGCTTCGGCGGCTCTGGATGCTTACATCAAAGACTTTGAGAAGAGTCGTCAGAACCGCGACTCATCGTTGACTGGAAAACTGGTTCTGCCGCAGAGCCTACCCTCCACTCCGTGCAGGCACAGAGTCGGCACGCTCAGAAACAAAGATGGTAGGTCCTGCTCAGGATCAGGTATCTTATAATGTTGATATATCTTGGTGCTTTTTATGTCTTCTGTGGTTTTATGTTATCTGAGTGATTCATCTACATTGCATTTTTCTCTTTTTGTTTCAGTTCTTAGGGAGCGTTTGACCGAGAGAGAGCTAGACTTCCTGAACCTCCCCGTGAGCCCCCTCCATCACCGCGTTAACTGGGACAGACACTCCATGACAACAAATGAACTGCTGTCCGTCCCTTTCGACGGCTCGATGCCCGTCACCCACACCACCGCCTTCATCCAAGGTTTTTATACATGTCATCCTCAACCTTTAAACTCTTAAACACGTGTTTGTACATTTTTTAGTTTTCTTTGATCTGTATGATGTCAGTAACAGGAGAGATCTGTGATTTAGTAGAGTCCAAGACTGAAAATGTGGAGCTGGAAGTAAATGCATCCCTCACCATTTTTCTCAGTCTGAAGTTTTTAAATGTGACAATCAAGAATCTGCTCTTATACCAGTTCTTTAAAAACATCTACAATGTAGTCTTCATCCATGTCATTAAATCCACCACTTTTACCTAAAAACATCCTGGCATCTGCCTTTAAACGCATCACTTCTGCAGCTCAGACTCTATAATCAACGTTAAATAATCCATAGATGATTTAGTAATAACAGAAGTGATGACTTTGCCTCACTCCTCTCCTCTGCTGGTCCAGACCTCCTGTCCTGGCCTGCAACCTCCCAGCCCTGCCCCTCATCTACCTGTAGACTCCTCCACCATCACTCTCTTCCACCCACGACGTCCAGGAGCTCCAGGTTTGAACTGCTTCCTTTCTCGTTCAGATCGACCAGGCATATTTCCTGGTCGATCTGAGTTACAGGTTATTACTTTGCCCTCCTCCCTAGGTGCAGAGACAGGCCGAGGGCCGCCACGTTTAAACCAGGTGCTCACATCAGCAGTTTTAAGGTGACCTTCACTGCCTTTTCTGGATTATTCTGAGACTGTAGCAGTGTCATAAACACAGTTGCTTCCCCTTTTCAGAGATCAGAGCAGGCCCCGGCATCCTCGTCGCTCCACCTCCCTCACTGGTTCACCAGTAACAAGGCTGACTTGGACTGTTCGGGAATCACCAGTGTGCCCGACCTGAAGTACCCAGCCTGGCTCCAGGGGTGTGACCTCAGTGAGCCGCCTGCACAGTCAGATCTGTGGGACGACCACGGTAGCTTCCTCGACTACATATGCACAAACCTTCCAAGATGTCATAGTATTTCATCATCATTTAACAGATTGTGATTATTAATGTTAAAGATAAATCTATTAATAGGTTATTCTTTATTATTTTATATTTAGCAGCCCATCAGTGTGTAGAGTCATAAATATGAGCTTTTCTTGGAGGTCAGTAAAACTGATCTAGTGAGGGGAAATGTTGAATTTGATATTGAGCTATTGTAAAGGACTGGGTGGGTGGAGTCTATCCCAGGGAAGTAATTTCACCATTAAACTATGACTATTTTCTGTTTATTTGAAAGGGTCATGTTTGTTTTTTCCAGACGTTCTTCCACCTGGAGCTCCCAGAACCAGAGCTCCATCCTGGGTAGCAGACCTGGAGAAAGATGAAGATCCTGACCAGACACCTGCAGAGGTGAGAGAAGCAGCTGCAGCGCAACTGTCAGTTGTATGGTCCTGCTGCTTTCATTGTTCATGAAGACTGTAGAGCTTCTGTGTCACTGTGCTTTCCTCTGGACTCTTTGTGTGTTAAAGAACGCCTGATGATGTGGTCAAGTGCTCTAAATAAACCACATTCTGTCACATGTGTATCCCAAAGGCAGAAAAAGAGCTTCATCGGTCAGTTGATTAAGTAATAGGTTTTCTCTGTGTGTGCTTAGGTTGGCAGCCAGCAGGCGCTCAGAGACCTCAGGCTTCAGTTTGCTGAACAGATTTCTTTGCTCACTACAGAGAGGAAGAGCTCAGATGTTGTGATGAACATGTACCAAGGTAAAAACACATGTGTTTGAGTATGTAATGTTAAAAATTCGAGGTGTAAACAAAATAGGTCCGGAATTCCATTGTCCATTGTCCATTCCGAGTCCATTGTCAGGATGGGCGAGCGGTCTAAGATGCGGTCACTCAAGGTCCAACTCCCGGGTGGAGGCGTGGGTTCAAATCCCGCTCCTGACTTGACACTTTAACAAATTTCCCAGAGGAACCCACCCGAGGGATTAATAAAGTTTTATCTTATCTCTCTTGTTCTCTGTAAATCACCACAAACATAACTTTCAGATCTCTATTCGTGTGACTTTCAGAAAATATAAATTAAAGTTAAAGTACAGTTAAAGGTTTACTGCTTTGATGCACAAAAGAGACCCAGTGACCATGACAGAGGCAAAACAGGGTTCCTGCAGGTCATTAAAAAGTTTAAAATCATGTTGTGTTATTGCTTCAGATGCCAACATATTGTCTTTAGAGCCTGAAGTCACCACATTTCAGATATCAGCACTGTATGAGTGCATCACACTGACGGAGATGGCTGCTAATTAGTGCCAAGTAACACCCAAATACAATCCTTCACTCACCTTCACTAGACCCCAGTCTTCTTAGACAATCTGTTCATACAATTAACTGCTTTTGCGGGTTCAGATATTGAGGTGAGCACAAAAAAAATAATGGTCCAGAAGAGCTTCGGTCAAACAATGATTTTAATGAACACACGCTTGGGGAGATGAATACTGCCCGCAGACAGCATCGATCTCCGCCCAATAATACACAAACGGTTGTTTTATACCATCAGGGTTTGGTTTATGACGCCCCCTCATGCGTCAAACAGATACAATTCACATACAATAATATTGACGACTTTCGACATATATGGAAAGAGCCTTGTCTCCGTCTCGAGGCCAGGTGCCGACTCTCACTTATCTCCTGGAGCATACTTTTGCAGCTACAGGAATTTGCAAACTGTTATTCGAACTCCTTGCCTAAACATGAGCCCAACTGTTGTCTGTGTGTGTGTGTGTGTGTGTGTGTCGACCTCCAACGTACTCAGCCTCACCCCGCCCGTTGGCGCTTCTAACCTTTTCCCAGACAGAAGCTCTCAGTGGTGTGTGTAATAATCTTAACTAAAAGTATGCGTGATCTATTGAATAAATGCTTTGATGAAATGATAATTAATGTAATGGTAATAATGATGGTTATGAATAGTAGCCGTAAAATATTTCCCTGATCTCCACACTGCACAGCAGCCATATTAGATGCTCCAAATGGCTCCAGCAGCACAAACAGGGTTCAGATGTCCAGTTCAGAGAACTGTTGGGGACTGACTCAATTCTGGAACTTGGGACTAAACAGAGATCTAAAACTAGCAGCTGTACAGAAAGTGGTCAAGAGGTACAAGAGAAGATCCTCTTGAACATGAGACTGGCCAAATTCAATTCATATAGTCTTATTTTCCTATTTTTCCCCTTTCAACCACACCTCCTATGACAACCTTTCACTCTTTTAAACTTTTCTCTTTTTTGTTGATGTTTTTGTTTTTTGCTAAACTTGTTTCTGATGTGTGTTCCCACCTGTCAGACAACAGGATCGAGTCTCTGATCCAGAAGGCGGACCAGGTGTTAAACTCTCTGTCTCGGAGTTCTGGACAAGCAGAGAGTCCTGCAGATCCAGGTAAAACCGGGATTCATTCAAAGGAGCAGGAAGTCTTTTACACTGAATAACACTTATACCAAAGTTTTTGTTGTTGTTGTTTTTTTTTAAAGCACAGCTGTGTCTGGTTCTCGTTGTGACTGTTTAAGCAGACTTTAACTTACTACCAACACACTGGAAATGAAGCAGGTATCCGATCAGTTCTTTGTTTCTGTTGTTGTCAGTGAGTCCTGTGAAAACTGAGGAGCTGCTGCACCATTCTCCCTCACACTGTCCTCTGTGAGTAAGACTCATTTACACTTCTGGTGTGTTATGATCTGCTGCAACTCCACACAGACTCATATATGTGGTGGCATTTTAACCCTGCAGAGACTCAGCAGCAGGAGGCTGCACAGAGGAGCTGACTGACAGGGGAGCAGAGGTAGGTTTACTGTCATGTTCTACAATGTCAGCTAATTGTGTGATTTTCATTTATTCTCGCCTCCTGAGTGATGCCCAGAACACATTAAGCTTTCAGGTCAGTGGACAAGGCCTCCTACTGCAGTGAGCCTCTTTGACTCACTACAGTAGCTTTTCTTTGTATTCACATTAGACTGGCTGAATTTAAAGGCTTTTTAGGCAATATTCATTTTTTCTTTTTAAACACAATAATTTACCTATTAAATATACGTTTAGCACTGGGGGTCTTATAAAGTAAATTCTGAATTTCTGTTTTGGATGGGTTGTAAATATTTTTTGTCACATAACTATGAGAACTTATTCATATTCCATCATTTGCACAATTTGTGTCTCTAAATATGTGATTTTTTTTTTCTACCAAATTAAACTGTAATATTTCAAAAGTTGTGGCCCTTCTCATGTAAAAAGTAGTTGTGTTGATTGCTTCGGTTTTATTGTAATAACTTGAGCTAACTTGTGTAATTTTGTATTAAACAAGTATCACATCATCTATATACAGTATTAGCTTGTGCTCATTGTGTCCCACTGTTATTCAGTAGATTCGCTGGTGTGATCATACATGTGTTGCAGAAGGTTTGTGAGAGCCTATTGGGTTTTTACAAACCAGATCAGCCCACATTGTCAGGTTTTTTTTCCTAAGGCTGAACAAATGAGTGCTATTCAACTCAGTTGAAGGCCTTCTCTACATCTACTGGCAAAACAGTTGTTTCTGAAGCTAGTGTGGTTTGTAATATCCCCCTCTTGTTTGTGCTCTCCCAGGATTTGAGTCATGAAAACAGCATCTGGAAGCAGCCTGGTCCGGTGGAGGCTCTGAAACAGATGCTGTTCAGACTGCAGGCTGTGGAGGCGGAGCTTCAGCGACAACAACAGCCACCAGCAGCTCTGACTCTCTCAGAGTGGCTGCTGACATCAGCAACACAGGTACAAGGAGCCAGGCAGGCTTAATACAGATCTTTAGAAAAAGTGGATAATAAAATGCAAATCTGTGTCTGAGTTTAACGTTTAAGGAAACAAGATTTAAATTATTAAGAGTCTGTTTGTGTTCCAGTGGTCTGTTGGTAACGCAGAGCTGCAGGAGCTGCAAGAGCTTCAGAGTTTTCCTGGTAGACCATCACTAGAGAGGTAACTGACTCCAATCAAGTTATTTGTCCCTTTAGAAAGAATGTGGAGACTGGACTGATAACCTGTGCTTACAGTTTAAAGACAACTGCATCAAAGACACCACTTTTGCTTCAGGCAAAAATTAAAAGTATTGTTTTACTCAAAAAGTCACTAGAAACTATGTCAAGAAATCAAATGCCATCCTGTCTTGTAAGGCAAAGGGGGGTCCACACAGGAAGCAACTAGCAATGATGTGGCAGCCAGCAACTAGAAACTCAGTGACATTTAGTAACTCATAGTGAGTATGGGCCGAATAACCACTGGTGATGCAAAGCAATACTACTACTACTACTACTACTACTACTACTACTACTACTACTACTACTACTACTACTACTAATAATAATAATAATAATAATAATAAATTAAAATGTATTTTTGAAAACTCCAAGATAAGTCCTTTTGTTCTACTTTCAGATTTTAGATAAAAGACAGAGTCAGCTTCTGGGTGTGAATCCTGCTTTTTTTCTGATGGCCAACAGGGGGCAACATCTATGGCTGTTGAAACAAGTCAGAGTCTGTAGAAGTCTATGAGAAAGTGACCCAACATCTTACTTGACCTGTTACCTTAAGCTGGGCAAACACTGCGATTTTGCGTTATTCAGCTCCTGCTCAAACTGTACGATTGACTCGCAGGGGTTAGAAGTCCGTAGGTCACGATGCAGGGTCTCACACTATACGGCCCGATGCTCTGATGCGACCTGAGTGCTCACACTGTGCGTACATAATATGAAGGTTATAACAGAAAATCTGTCTCTTGCTCTCCCTCTCTGTCTTTCACTCACACAGACACACACACTGCCACCGTCAACTTTGCTAAATTGCTAATGAAAAACATTGATCAGTCAGCTGTGATTGAGCAGCAATGTCCATCCAATTATTTTCACGGTTGTTGTGGTCGTGATAATTTTGTGAGGACACATCGAAAAGGCTCGGATGAGCTTGCCAAAGTTCTACAAGTTGTACCCCATCGCTTGTGTCCAGATCACACACTGCACTGCTGTGCTACTCTGTCTTTTCCCTTTCATTTCTGTGTTTGTGCGTGCGCAGTGTGAGAGGCTGCGGTGACACCCTCACGACGGCCGACAGGATTTCAAACAGGTTTGATTTTCTTACGACCAAGCGATTGATTATTTGGGAGCTGGTCGTGGGGTGTTAATCGCTTCTGTTACCCCACGTATACTACACGATGCACAACACACGATGAAGGCGAAACTCGGGCTGATCCCCAAAACGGTCGCACGACTGAAAAATTGTCTCAAAATGAGCCAAAAATCGCACCGTGTATGCCCAGCATTAGTAAACACTTTCACGATGAGTTTATGGTTTCTGTTGCTAGTTTAAAGTCTTACTGAGTCAAATGTGATTATTAGGGCTGTGCGATAAGACCAAAATCTCATATCCCGATATAAGAATTCTATCATCCCGATAACGATGTAAATCACAAAAATGTAAAATTTTCTGTAAATTCTGTGAATCTCGTGCAGCTCGACTTGCATGAAGTGTTTTCAGCTGGGCGTCTTGTACCTGGAGTTATGACTTTTAGCCGATGCATGAAGCTATACATTTTTAGACACAAGTTGTAACGGCCGCCGTTTTCTTTGTGAATATTTATTACATGCTGCGGGGAAAAGCCTGTTCTAACGTTTGAGTCTAAGGTTTATTTTTTTAGTACCTAACACCTCTTTTTTGCTTCTCATCCGTAAACACTGCATACTCTTTCACGGGATTTAGTTTATTTTGAAAAGTCTCAACAGGACCTTGAGCTTTATTGTGAAAGGTTAATATGCAAAACCAACAAGCGGACGGCGGAGCCACGCCATTGTTTTACCGTCGTGGTTGCTAATGACAACGTGTAAAAACAGTCGCTTGTCCGTCCGTAGTGTGGTCATATTAAGTATAAGGGAAAGAGAGAACTTTAACAAATTAATATAACCACTACAATGACCATCAAAACGATGAATAAATATTGTAAATATAATAAATTAACATTATATTTTGCCGCAATATGAAACGATAGACGTTTTTATATCGTCACCCGATATATATCATTATATCGAACAGCCCTAGTGATTATTACATTTCAAGTAAAAGAAGGATCATAAAACAGGATGTAAGTTAGTGACTAACAAGTCATCCGGTGTCCTTCAGAGCCCTCAGTTCTCATGTTGGCATTCAGATAGCTGAGGTGGTGGTGGCTCACAGTCCCAAGAAACAGAGTCCTCATCCATGGAAAACACACCTGCACTTTCATTCCCATAGGGTCTCCTCTTCCTCATCCTCACCCTCTTCTTCTAAGCCCAATAGTTCAAAAACAAGATTTCAAAAACTTGTGTGACATTAAACGCATCTTCATCCACCACCACAGTATGTACATCAGTTTGACTCCAGTTTAGGGTGAGTAAAGCATGCATGTTTTTCCTCCTCAGAGCTCTGCATCATCTGAACCGCCTGAAGATGCTGGTGGAAGAACCCAGACAGAAACACAGAGCGACAGAGGAAGAGAAGGACGACGACGAGGGGCGCTACTCGTCCTCATCTGTCGACAGACTGGTCTGTTCTCAGCAGGAACCCTCCAGAAACTGAACATTCAAAGGAAGCTCGCTGTGCCAAAAGCCTCAATAGTATCTGCACTGTGTTTGTGTATTTTTTATAAGAAAGTGCTTTTTTTTTTTTTTTTTAAACACTAATACAACTCAGTTTAAACTATACCCTAAACCTTTAGAGTCAGGAAGTTTCCTGGACTGTTCTCTTTCTCAGACTCTGAGGAAGAGTCAGAACACAGCGATAATTTAAAAGAAGAGAAGAAAACGTGAAGGACAGACAGACTCCGAGACGAGAAAAATATGCCACATCTTTTATATTTTGAATGTGTCTCAGTGGTTTGTGGATGCAACAGTATGGATGGATGGACTTGATGCTTGTTGGTGCACAGACCGTTTTGTATTGATGGGTTTCATTCTGTTTGTAGACAGACTGTTGGTGCCATAAAGATTTACACACACTCATTCCTGTTGAAAATGAAGTGGTTACCGGGCAGTGTTAAGCCAGAGGGAAGAAAGATCATCAGTGCTGTTGTCAGTGATAGCTTTTCAGTTCCTTGCAGGTAAAACTACAATAAATTGCCTTTGCTGTAGAAAATATGTACATGTGGAAGCACAACGTGTACTACTGTGACAATCCAGTCCGATTTTCTGAATTTCTCAAGACTCAAGACTCGTGGATTGAAAATTGAAGTATTGAGCCATGGGTTGGGGGGACCAGGGTGTTCAGATGTCTATCTTTATCTGGGACTGCACAACATTTTTTATCAGGGAACGTTAAAAGTCACCAAAATTAACAACCTTTGCTGATTTTGTCGAATATCATAGAAACTAACAAAAAAAGAAGCAGAAAGATTTGAAGAAATGGTTTTTGTCTCTTTTGCTTGAGTTGGGTTTTTTTTTGCAGAGGAGGGGAAAAGTTTGTGACACGGTAAATGTGTGTCGTAACTGAATAAAAATTACAATTGTCAGATATGGCTTTTTTAAAAAAAAAGGATGCCAATTTGTAGATCCACCCAAATGGAAACCCAAAAACTGTTAGCAGACAGATCTCTCTATATATATACACGCTAAATGATACTCTGATAAAATTCAATTGATTGTATTTGTAAGTCAGATAAAGACCATTTCACTCAGAGTTGTTCTTCATACATCTTCAGGTTCAGGTTACCATAAGTAGATTTGTTTTGCAGCTGTGAGTCATCCGTCCTCACATGCACACTCAATACAGCCATAACAGACAAAAAATGTACATAATACAAAAAAAAAAAAAAAATCTGGTCATTTGAATCTGACAGTAAAACCAGGGGATGATCATTTAGAAAATTATCATTTTTCAACTAAAGGATGAAACCATCAGGAAAGACGCAAAGGTCAGAGCAGGAGTAAGGCAATTTTCCCATGGACTAACAATCAGACTTTATTTATTGATCAGAGGAGTTTCCTCCTGCTGGGTCAAGAAAGAATGCAGGTTCATAGTACTGCATCAGTTTCACTTTTCAAACATCAAAGACATGAAACCAGATGGTGTTTCCTCCACCTCCATCCTCAGGATGACAGGACTCATACTGGCACAGAGGAACTTTAACCCTCTGATGCAGGAAGTATTTTTATTCACCTTGGGGTGAAGAAGACACCTGATGTTAAATGTTTAATGTGTGCTTCTAGCTGCTTGGCTTGGCTTTGCACAGCTCTCATTAAACATGTTTTGGTTTACGACCTCCATGTTGTCACTTCTTTGATTAATACAACTAAAAGTTCACGTCAATCTCAGATATCGATCACTACTCAATCAGAAATCTTATGTTACGACCAGATGTTAACCCTCCCATCACTCCCTGCCGAGATCACAGTCTCCCCCTTGTGGTCAAAGGTCACACTCTGCACACTGTCCCTGTGGCCCTCCAAGCTGCTCACACTGCCAGAGTCTACCTCCACCAGTTTCACCAAACCATCGCTGCTGGCAACCGCCAGCATCTTCCCTGAGTGGTTGAACGCCACTTGGTTGGCACTAAGTGGCCCGGTGTCTCCAGCGGCCATCGGCGATGTGGGTTTTCTCGTGTCCCACGTGTTGACGATGCCGGAAGAGTCACAGGAGGCCACCATGCTGGTCGCTGAGCTGAAGGCAGCATGGTTGCAGGGGTGATAATGTCCGAGAAAGGTGGTGGTGCAGACACCTAGCCTGGCATCCCACAGGGCGATGGTTTTGTCAGCGGAGCAGGTGAGGAGGAGGTTGGAGGAAGGTAGGAAGCAGACGCTGTTGACGGAGGCGGTGTGTTGGCGCAGTGTGAGGCGACAGCGCTGGCTGTTCAGGTCCCACAGCTTGGCGGTTCTGTCAGCGGAGCAGGAGGCCAGGAAGTGACCACATGAGTGAAAGGAGCATGCCCAGGTGGGCTGGGCATGGCCAGAGAGCATCAGTACACAGCAGCCACGAGAGAAGTCCCAGAGCCGAACCTGCAGGAAGAAGTACACATCTGTAACCAATGAGGTGGGTTTATTCTGTGTTGTCATCAGGACCAACTTACTGTCGTGTCTCCGCTGGTTGTCGCTAATTTTGATCCATCAGGGTGAAAGCTACAACCGGACAGCCAATCAGAGTGACCCTCACCGGTCAGCAGCATCTCACCCACCTGGCAACACAGTAAGTGACATCACACGTCAGTGCATCATCCGATCAGAGTGACCCTCACATGTCACCTCCCCACCTCCTCTTAGAGCTTTCACATCCTCTCACCTTTTCTCTATCTTCTGGGAGAACCCACAATCTCCAGGTGCTGTCGTCACTGGCCGAGACAAGGATCAGTTTTCTTGGATGCAGGTCGATGCAGCTGATTGGTTGCTGATGCGCTCTTGTAGAGCATGCGAGGCTGAAAGATGCAAAGCTTTTCCCTGTGTGAGAGTTCATTTGTTCCAGGTAGGCCCTTGGGAGCCCACTGCAGGGGGGGAACTCCGAGTCCTTCAGGTGTGCAGTGGTCTTTGCTGGTGGTTTCTCCTTCCTCCTCTCCTCCTTCACCTGCGCTGGTGTAGGGTCTGTGCTGCTTTGCAGTCTCTCTCTGTGGAAGCTGAGGAGCATCTTCTGCCTGAGAGCTGTTTGGTATTTCTCCTCCAGCTGCCTGAGCACGGGGTCGTACGACTGCAGATGTTTCTTCAGTTGTTTGAAGTCCTCTGTGAGCCTCCTTTTGTCCTCGGAGACTCGCTGGTGCTGCAGCCGGTGAAAGTCCCGCTCCCTCTGTATCCTCACCAGGCTCGCTCCTGCACCCAGCACCTCCTCCCTGAGCAGCTCCGTCTCTGCGCGCACCGCCTCAAGCTCGCTCTGGAGGAGGCGTCGGTGTGTGAGAGCATCGGGGATGAAGTAGACCCCCGGGGCCGCCGTGGCTACGGTCTTCAGGGTGTCTGTGAGGCGCATGAGCGCCGAGCCGTACCACTCCACCTCGAAGCGGCTCAGAGTCCGCGTCAGGCCGGCTCTGCGCAAGAAGTTCCTCAGGAAGTCGTCCACCGCCTCGGGGATGTTAGACAGAGTTTGCGCTTGTGGCGGTTCAGAATTTCTCTTGGGAGCTGCTGAGGAGGAGAGAGCCTCCTCAGACTTCTCCTCCTCTTCGTCCTCCTCAGCACTGCTCCTCTCCTCCACTTCCTCCGCTCCTCGTCTTCTGTCTGACATTTTCTCCCCTTCGCCTCGGAGCTTATTGTTTACGCGTTGCTATGGTATTAGCTCTGCGTTGCTTCGCGTGTTACCACGGTAACCGCGTGACCCCCTGCGTATGCGTTTGCTCTCTGGGACTCTAGGTGTTAATAGGTTTTGTGGTTATTAAAATGCATACATATTTTACATTTTAAATGTTTTTAATTATTTGTTTTCATGCTTTCGTTTTTATTTCCTGTTTTTCCTTCAAGTGCTCTCCCCCTCTCTCTCTCTCTCTCTCTCTCTCTCTCTCTATCTATCTCTAATTTTTTAAATATATATATTTTTAAATATTGTAAAATATTGATTATACAAATATTACTATATCATCATAACAAATATTACTCTCTCATCATAATGGTGTATATTTAAGAGGAAAAAAAAAGTAACTTACAGAGGCTATAAAGAAAAAGTCCTTTGTCTAAATTTTCACTTTAAAGTCATACATTTGTAGTAATTTTCGGATATTAAAGACACATATATACAAGACGAAATAACTGTGATTTTATTTTCCAGTTGCTTTTAACACTTTTAACAGCTGTCTTTTTACTCCAGCACGTACACCAATGCTAGTTCACTTTTAACTACTAGAAGGGGTAACATTTAAAGAGGAAAACACACACAAAAATGCAACACTCTTTGTAACATTTTTGCAGGTAACAGCTGGTATATCCGGCACAGGTGTATTGAGACGTGCTGACCGATAGAGGGCGCGCAGGTCGCGCAGTGTGCGGCTGCGTTATACGTTAGCTCATCACATGACTGTCAGGAGGAAAAATAGAGCAGGAAGAGTGTTTTCTTTCTCTTTGTTGTTGTAAACATTTAATTTTCACAATAAGACGGAAGAGCAGTTTTGTGCTCTGAAGATTCATGGATCTAAAAAAGCGCAATTCTGTTTCTCGGTGGTGACGGTTCACTTTCATGGTGCTGAAACCAAAGAAAAGACCAAGCCAAACTTCGCCTTAAATTTGCTTCATTTAAAATAATCTGGATTATCCTCCGAGGTACGTAAATGTTAAGACGTGATTTTATGACTTATTATGTTATAGCATAATGAATGTTAATTCTGCCTGCATTTGGCCTGTTTAATGTGAGAGATTTTGTGTAATAGTGATTGTAACGTGTTCCAGTCGATTGTTCTGGTGGCACACTTGATGCTAAAATGAAGCTAACTGCAGTTCCTGCGTCTCTTCAAATTTACAATAATACATTTTCTGAAATCAGTCAATGTTGACATCGTTTGATGTTTGCTGGGATGGATTGCGAATCTGAGTTTAACCTTACATTTGCCGTGTGTACCAGAGATTTTCAAATCGAGTCTGGCCGAAGTGTTTTTAGCAACAAAAAGCGGTGGAGGAAATCCAAATAAAACCATTACATTTACAAAAATGATACTTTATATTCTGCTTCAGACTTTTAAGGATCTAAAGTACACTTTCTTTTTTCTTTTTTATAACTATCAACGTCCCGCTGTGGATGCATAACGGTGATCTAATGTTTTAAGTTAGCGGTCAGTACATGAAGAGGAAGTTTTTTAGGGGAATTATTGCTAATGGAGTGAACGCTACTAAAGTTTAAAAAGAAATTGAGCAATATTACCTCTTACCTTCTTCATCATTTAGTTGAGAAAAGTGACATTAAGTGGGTTAGATTGTCATGTTAATATTGTGATGTCAGTGTTTTGAAGTCTGTTAAATAATCGCTGACATGCAGAAACTAAATACATTTACTCAAGTGGCTCTACCTGTTTCACAGCTCAAAATAATCCTTTTTTAATTTTACTGTCTACAGTTTCATGTCACTTGTCTCAAACAACCTGCTTTAGCTCCTCCTACTTTAAGCCACCTTTCTTCTGATTGGCTGTCTTCTGTAAACAGAAATTCTGTGGCGAGATGACTGGAAATAAGGAAAATAGGTCCACTTAATTTACTAAAATGTGTAGGAACTTTATACTGAGTAGCGGTGAAAAAGAGAACATTCTGTCTGCTTAAAATAATGTGTGGAAACTTTAAGGTGGTCTGAATCCTTTCTTCATCTACCTTATTTCTAAACATTTTCATGCAGTGATGTTTATAGATTTTTATTCTGAAGAAAATGTATCCGCACACTTGGTAACC